GAATATAGATATACAGTTCAATTACAGACGGTGGGGCATTTTATACTAGTTCTCAAAGTTGAAACTGCATCTGTTGCAAACTGTCTCATTTATGTTGGCTGCAAGGTGTTCATGAACAGAACTATTCATTAACCATCAGAGTTCAGTTTTATAAAAACAGATTAATTAACTGCTTAATTGTATCAAAAAGATGAGTACTGTATCACTAAAGAAAATTCTAGTCAAATGTATATTGTACCCGCGTAAGGTAGGGTTCCGGTTTGAGTTGTCCGTATGTAACATTTACTTATGTTTGAACACTGCAGATTTCGTTATAATTTTAAATAAAAATTAAAATATCAATTATTAATGTAATATTTATTAGGGTATTTAACATATGAAAGAGTGCTTTGAAGATTGGTATTTTGAAAACTAAGCTTATTATATTTTGTATTAAGACGACACAAAAGTGGCTCCGGGCTATCGCCGTACCGATCCGAGTGAATACATAATGTCTATAAAAACTTAAAAAACGCCTTCATAAGTTCTACAATTGCGTAGCGCCCGCGAAGATTAAGACCCCTTAGAAATTGTCAAAATCTTAAAATATTATCAAAAAATAATTGATTTAAGTAATCAAAATAATGAGTAAGTAAATTATGAATATTGATGTTATGAATATATTTGAGTGTTTCCCAAGCATATGGGTTAAGTAATTTCATTGTAATTTCAACTAAAGTGATTTTTAGAGGTGTTTTCGCAAATAATTATGATCGAGTCAAAATTATACAATCGTGTTTTTGAACAAGCAAATTCAAGATAAAGACATGAATTTACTTACATCAAAATTCCACTTTGTTAGTGGTGTCATAGTCTTATACTATTCGATGAAAGGAGGTGCATATTTTCGCGGTGTCGCCTTAAAAGCTGGAAATACAGTGAGTTATACCATTTCGGAATGTCAATGAAACAGACATGTTTTTTGTTAATTTGGCATTCAGGTGGTCATATTTTTTTACACCGCATTGGGTTAAACTTAGGAAAAAAAATAAGCAATATGCATGCGCCCCAGAAATCATAGTGTACATTCGATAGCTCTTCTATCCAGGAATACTATCCAAAAAATAGATTGAAAAAATTCCTTCATTTTGGAGTCTTGCCACCAAACACAGTGGCAAAGGGTGTAATTTTTTTGCATTTTCGAAAATGTCGAATTATCTCGAAAACCAAGAGAGTTTTACTAAACATAAAACAAATTTTTCTCAACCTCCACGTCTTTTACCCGCAGGTACCATCTTATCCATTCATTACTTTACGCCACAACCTGTATATTTCTCTTAGAAGTGAGGTTATTTTTCTCTTATTTCAATATCTACATTTATAATAAATTTTTCTTTCATTATTATTTCCGTTACGTTAAATTCTAAACAAACTTAATATCCTATTTTCGGTAAGAAGAAGAAGCAAATTAAAGGTTTCTTTCATCTTAGCTTTTGAAGTTTTAAGTAATACAATATTGACACTAATAACTTTCATACATTTACTTTATATTTATCTTTTTTTTTTATAGTACAATTTTTGTTTTACATATAAATTAAAATGTCACATATATATATATATATATATATATATATATATATATATATATATATATATGTATATATATATATATATATATATTGTCATTGATTATATATCATTGATTAATAATACATTATGATCCTAAGATCTACAATATCTGTAGCGGTCAATTACAAATAATGCTCTTATTTATATCTCATGGGGTGGAGACCTGGTGATTTGTAATACAGGCATTTTATGCCTATCTCAAACACCAGCTCTTCACAGATTCTAGGCTATGAGTGTGAACATACCTGTATTTAAATATATATAAGTTTTTATTATGTATGGTCGGTATTTGTGAGGAGAAATAAACATTATTATTATTATTATTATACACAATCTTAAAAATTTAATGAAGTACAGTATAAGTATGTTGGTATGTAATGTCAAAGAACACCCAAAGGACTACGCCTGTGCAGTACGAGTATGCTACCGGGATTTCTGTGCACGATTTAATGATTTCGCTCTGTTCTTGCACTGTTTCTTGCACGCTATTTAAAAGAAAATTACAGTCAAGTGTACCTTCTCGAAACAAACCCTTTCGAGTCACGCTCCGGCCTCGCTAAGCACTGACCAATTATTTCTTTTTTTATTTCTTTATGGTTAGGGGTCATTACGTTTGCGTCAGTTGGTGAGCGCTTCGGACAACCAATAGACCATATGTTTAGTTCCTTTAAAAGTTTAAATTTGGCCGTGACAGCGAAGTTCGAGTAATTGATTAATGAACTCTCGGGGCGGACGTGTTTAAATGCCTCGATCTTTTTTTTTTTTTGTTGAAATCCCTAATAATGATACGTTCCGATTGTCTAAAAAAGTTTGTAATAATATCCACCATATGGTTAAAGACAGAGATTCGTTTTGAAACAGTTGTTCGTAATCTAAGTTTTTTTTTTCAATCACGGCAGGTTGTAGAGTATAGGAAAAGGAATTTCGGATCCTGTTCAAATGCCATGGACGTATATTTATTATATTCTATGGGATGCAGAGTGTGGGGATGGAACTGATATTACTGATACTATATACCTCATGGATGATCCAATATTTACGTGGTAGAGCCACGCTGCAGCTATATTATGGTTCAGCTCGACCGGGGAAGGACCACGCTCTCACAGAATACCAGCATAAAACAGCAGCTTAATACTTCTGTTTCGTATGGTGAGTGTAAAGATCCGGAGACCCTTTTTACTGGAAACGAGGCATTTCATCTTAGTCCTCAGGGGTGACAACGCATCTGCGTTTTGATAAATGTAGATATCTATGGACCACAGCATCCACTTACCATTAGGTGGACGTGCTAGTTTGTCACCCGTATTCTATAAAAAAATAGATTCAAAATTATATATATTCAACACTTAATATACACCACACGAATTAAAAGCAGCTTGCCTATATTTTTTTAACTTTTACAGTTTATATACGTAAACAAATAACTTTATCAGCTACTAGTCGAATACCACACATAAACCTCTCCCATGGTAGAATTTGCAGCCAGTTTAGCGGTCGTAGTACCAGATCTCTGAGTCTGGGTATTTTACATCTGGAATAAACGGAAATGGTTATATCACCATCTTTTGGAAGCCATGATATCTTTCTTGCCATTCCCATTACATTATATGGGGTAAGTCATAACCCCATATCGTTCTTCTGTAGCACTACCATCACCCAGAACATTTTATACACTTATACTTTATATACTTTTCTGCTGATTTTTTACCAACTGATTTACCTAAATTAGAGAATTTAGCGTTACAGCCTATATAAGTCCACTGCTGAACATAGGCCTCCCCCATAGATTGCCTTACAAGAAATTTTATTTGCCATAGTTGCCACGCTTGCTAAGCGGGTTGGTAACATTGATATAATTAAAAAAGGGGGTTGGTAACCTCAGTTTTTATTTATTTTTAGTAATTATTAGGAAGACGCTCCTGCCCATCTTCTGATATGTTTCCATCTGTCGCCTCTTACGACACCCACGGGATGATATTCAACGAAATAGATCACAAGTTTCTGATCTTAATTTAACGACTGTAGGAACTCAAGCGAGGCGACAGCTTGAAGAAAATATTACAGTTATTGATGCCTAATTAGCCCACTTTACAACCATATCTTCCGGCTTCATTGTGAATATAGAGGAAGTTCATTGTGGATTTATTTATAGTAACATTTATATAATTCGAAGAATTGTTGTAAATATAAAAGCACGTAATTGTGTAACCATTGGAATAACAGCGGAAGGAATTCGAATGCAGTGTCAGAAAAACGAATAAAAAGAAACGAAACAATACATCAATAACTCGATTAATTAAGCAGTTATTTATCAATACGTTAAAAATCCAAACCAATCCTTCTTCATGTGAAAGAAAAACTACATTTGTTTACCCGAAATGGACGAACATATGAGATATATTAAAAGATAAAGACAAATAGAAAAACATAACGCAGATTTTCTTACGATGTTTTTCTTCACCGTCGACGTTCACGTGGTTAACCACTACAACACAATAGAAAAACAACTAACAATTTTATCGACGAGAATTGAATTTGGTTTGGTCGCGTGCTGTTAAATTTCAAACCGAACACATCCCTTGAGCTACTACAACTACGGCTTCCTCTTTCGATAAAGATCGGTTAATAACATCGGTGCGGTGGTATTACATTACTCCATACCAAATTAACACTTTAATTTACTTTACACAAATTGAAACAAAATACAAACACCCCCCTACATCCCACTACCCCATCTCTCCTCACGCATACTTTAAAAACAGTCCAATTTAAATCCTCGTTATTTTTCGATGTCGGTTGAAATATGATACGTTTCACTCGGAGCTTAAATTTTATGGCAAGGCAGTGAATTAAACACCTGACGGAGACGTGAATATTTCATGCACATCATGGCAAACTTTGTTGCTACATATTTATTAATATGTGGCAAACGTACCTTGCGTTTAAATCAGGATTCTTGAGAGCTCTAATTAAGTACGCGATACTAATTTATAACTGTCTGTATGCGAACACAATAAACATTAAAAACTGCGAATTATAACAGAAGTGCCGTAACTAATTATAAGAAATTCTGCATAAAGAAGAAAAGGAAATTAGTTTTAGAGGATTCATTATTTCTTTTATAAAAAACTACTCTACAAAAATTTACTCTAGCACATAACTCTAAATCATGTTATACAAATTCAAATTCGTATTTTTTACACACTTTAAAAAAAGAGCTTGTTGCCTAAGACTGATAACTAAATTCAAATTAATGTAAGATTTACAAGTTCTCTCTAAATCACTCACAAAACTAAAAAGGCGTACCGTTTTATCATCTCTAGGAGAATACTCCTGATCTGGCTTTATCAGAAACGGACATTGCGAACTAAAGTAAATAAAATTTGTTACAGATTGGCCGGATCGGGCATGCCAAGTGGAATGGGAGGCGGTACGCTTGGCAGCGGTCACTGCCAACTGGCTAACCAGCCACTGGTGATGCCCGTGTTCCCGCTGCGAGCCACACAACCAAGTCCCGTGCCCGTCTATTCACCTTCCCGCTTCCACATAGACAAGCGATGCCAACATCGATGCACATGGAAATGTCTCGCCATATCTTTGATATGCCTATGCGTAATACTAGCGGCAATGCTCGCTTACTTTATAGGTAAGTAATGAAGTAATTTATAAAACTAAGTTTAATAACACAATTCAATGTGACTATGTTAAATATTTAAATAATAATCTATATTGTTTTTGACGTGGTAGAGCCACGTTGCAGCTATATTACTGGTATAGTTGTAGCACGAATGCGCCGGCTCGATCGGGGAAAGACCACGCTACCACAGAATACCAGCGTAAAATAGTAGCTTAATACTGCTGTGTTTCGTATGGTGAGTGTAGAGAACCGGAGACCCTTTTTACTGGAAACATGTCATTCCATTCACCTCACGGGTGACAACGCATCTGCATTTTGATTCGTAGTTACGGATAACTATAGATGTCTATGGGCCGCAGTAACCACTTACCATCAGGTAGACTGCGTGCTCGTTTGTGACCCTTATCATATAAAAAAAATATAAATAAAAATGTTAATCTAAGTAGGTTCAAAACTTAAATCTCCGAAAGTTCTTCACCGATTACTTTTAAATTTTGACAAAACGTTGCATTCGAATACGTGTGTGTTTTTATAATATATTTTGCCACATCATCGGGGCTGGGTTTAGGTAAAATAAAATAAATAGGTATATTATTTTATTTCTCATAATTTAACAGGAAATAAAAATTAAAGAAACAAAGAATATAGTATTATAAAATTTATTTATCGAATCGATGTTAATGAAAGTGAATTCGGAAATTTTTTGTAGGTTGGTTATAAAGTAATAAATAAATAAGAAATAAGTATAAGAATTTCAAAGCAAAAATATTTAATGAAGAGATATACCTATAAGAGACCTACCAAGGTTTTTGGATATATCTTAGATAAGTAAACAAAAATACAATTATGCTTCGACTATGTATTTTTATATTGATAATTCTTAAATAGATTCGTTACTTGTTTCCCAAAGACCTCTGCATAATTATTTAAAACACGCGGAGAATTAGTTAGTCAATATTTTAAAACGAAGCTATAAAAAACTACAATTTATCATTGTTCATAAACTCCCAGCGGGTTGTCCAAATATATCGTGAAGGTGTTCTTTTAATAACTCATCGAAAGCCGATCGTATTATAATTCCCTTTCTATTCGTAAGCTTTATTAAGTGGATTCCGTTTGAGCTGTCTTTCCTAATTTCTTTAGACAATGTCATTATTACAATATATTTTATTAAGCTTTTAAAATAATACATTTTAAACTTAAATATAAAATGTAAAGTTTTTAAGGTGTATAAATTTGCCTCATAAAAAGTTGGAAACATAGGTACCTAATAACTGATTACCGATATGTTTGGTATTTCGTTCTTGTGGGAAGGATATTTTTTAAGTTTTGTGATAAAAATGAAGAAACATGATTCAACGGTCTATTTACATTTTACAATTTCTTGCTTGCCGAGACCCATTTTTTTAATAAAATAAGCACAATAAGTCCGGTCTAATGTCGATAAGAAATATCTAGCAGTAGTTTACCTTTAGAATAGGTTTTAAAAAAATAAGTATTCATTCTAACTGACATTGTATAATTTTTTTAACCTTGACATTGACTTTATTTACTATTTTAATAATTTGATTAATTTTGTTTTATAATTTTTTAAATTTTAATTTGTTTAATTAGTGGCAATTATTTTAATGATTAATATTGTAAGTATATATTTTTTTTAATTTAATGTGATTTATTTTGTAATTTAATTTTATATGTTTTATGAGATTATGACTTAGAATTGATTAAATGATAACTTAATGTATCTAATGTTACAAGCGTGTTGGATGCTACCATCCGTTAGCTTGTAAGCGCATCTAATAATAATTAAAAATCTTGTTGAAAAAGAAAGTTACAGCCTATATACGTCCCACTTCGGGCTTAAGCCTTCTCCTATTTTTAAAAGTGGTTTTAGGGAAAGGAAGTGTCTACCGCGGTACCCAATACGTTTACAGTTTACACTGACTTTCTCAGACATGCAAGTTTCCTCACGATGTTTTCCTTTACCGCCGAACACGTAATGAATCAACATTTAAAATTGCATTAAACAATTTCTTTGGCGCAGGTGGAGATCGAGTTAGTGCTTCTAGCGTAGGTAGGTACTGTGAAATTTACAATGAGCGTTTACGTGGAGCCATGGATTATGATTTATGAATATGCCTTTATAAATATATAATTTACTTCAAATTATTGAAATCAAAAATGAGTTCTCATTTTAAAGCCAAATCTACATAAAGTAAAAACATATTTCGTTGTAATGACACAACGCATAACAGATTCAAATGAGTCGATAAACATCGATGTTGCAATGAAAACAGACGCGTGCATTTGTCTTTCACAATTCTTTGTTTAGATCTCACAACCGGCGTTTATAGAGAGCCTCATAAAAACTATACGAACAATAAAAAAAATTAGATATAAATGATGCGCCTAACCTAAGGCAACTGCGTGCCTCGAGCCCTCGCTTCTGTGTTAGCGTCGTAATAAATTATCTCACACTTCTACGTCGCATACCATTTTACTACGGATATATCAGACTCTCGCAATCCCGGCCTATCCGCGAAACGACCAATCATAATTTACGTATACCATACCTAAAGCTCCGTAAATCGCAAAAGTAATCCTATCTCGATTTAACCCAGAATAACTTTTTATTTCCGACGCGATAAAATATCTTATAAATGACACAGCAACGCTATTCATAACCGCGATGATGTTTTAGTTTTCTTTTAATCACAATATTCTACTGCGTATAAATTATTAATCGTAGCATACATCTACACACAGTAAGTACACTGTCACACTATCACAGGACTGTCAGCCGAGTACGGGAAATAAAAGTGGCAACATCGACAGTATGTATATATATATATATAATCTGTGAGCGTATATGTATTTATAAAAAATATCGGTATTTGGTGTCAACAAATGCTATTGCGACCAAAGGTATTAGTGATGTTAGTTTTAGGCGTTGTACTTAACTACTAACTACTACTAATCGCAACAGTTTTTTTTTTTATAAAAAGAATATTAACAATGCTATACACATTACTAATATTCCGCTTAACTACCTACGAGTGGTTCACGCCAGTAGTCGAATGGCGGATTCGAACCCACGACTTTTTGAGTTCGCGGTCCGCGCCCTGCCATTAAACTACTGTCGCTTTAATTTTATTATTAATTAATATGGTTTAAATTAAAAAAAATTGCAGTGGCGGTGTAAAAATACTCACTACCCCATATCGTCCCGTGGGGTTGTAACACAGATTATTAGGAGGTAATCTGTGGGTTGTAAGAGGCGACAGAAAGTTAGCGATACCGGATACGAGCAGCAGCATATTCCTGTTAGCAACTCAATATAGTTTTTTTTTGTTTTTTTTTTTATAAAAAAGAATATTAACAATGCTATACACATTACTAATATTCCGCTTAACCACGTACGAGTGGTTCACGCCAGTAGTCGAATGGCGGATACGAACCCACAACTTTTTGAGTTCGCGGTCCGCGCCCTGCCATTAAACTACTGTCGCTTTAATTTTATTATTAATTAATATAGTTTAAATTAAAAAAAAATTGCAGTGGCGGTGTAAAAATACTCACTACCCCATATCGTCCCGTGGGGTTGTAACACAGATATTAGGAGGTAATCTGTGGGTTGTAAGAGGCGACAGAAAGTTAGCGATACCGGATATGAGCAGCAGCATATTCCTGTTAGCAACTCAATACAATTAAAAAAAACTATATTTACCAAGCATGGCAACTATGGCATGTCTCCCCTATGAGCTATGCTGGAAAAGTGGGGAAAGCCTCTGTTCAGCAAGGGACCTTTATGGACCATACCAGTATGTGTAACGAATGGTATTGTAGCTTACAATAAAATGTCCTATTAGTTATTATTGTTGGGATCAGCAGCTGATATAAAAAATATACTGGTATTTATACCATAGACATGAGGTGAACGTGCTATAAAGAATATTAATATCTTAACCGTTGCGTCACAATTTATTTCAAATAATATTATTTATGTAATAAACTGTAATAGTCCCCACACTCGCTATATGTCTCACTTGCCGTTCCAAAGCACAGACTCGATAAAACTAGCGGTCCGTATTTCGACAGATGTTTTAATAGATAATAATTAAATAATATTATATTACTTATTTGAAAAGATATAATAAAATATATGAATATTTAAAAGATATATGTATATATTTTTAGGTTAAATTGTGATTGAATTAAAAAACAGTTGGGAGAAATATATATAGTCTACTTGAATTCTTGCCGCTTATTCTCACAAATCACAGATTCTTCCTTAGTAGGGACTGTTAAATGCGATGGCGTAGCTTTCTTATATTTTAAAAAGTATTTTGTAAAGGCCAATTATGAATAAAAAATTATTATAACTAACTACTTATGATAAAAGAGTACGACCGAGTTCCATACGTAGTAGAAGTAGGTTTCCAAGTTCTATAAATGTAGGTAATGTAAAACGTTCATAGACAATAATTTGTTATATTTACGTGAAATACTACACATTGAATAAAATCAATTTTACGTATTTCATTCCCGTTTAATCTCGTTCATTTAACTTATTTTTAATTTCCGAAGTTTCTATGGATTTTGGCTGAATAACGTTATCAATCGAAAGGCCTATTAAGCCCTGTGATTACATATTCTTTAGTTATTCGGTACATATTTCCAGGATTCATGATAATTTAAGAGCTAGCTAGCTACGGACACAAATACATATGCATATACTTGTTAGTATAAAACCGTTACAGCAATCGCCGAGAAGATAAGTGTGATTTATCTTTAAAGCTATTTCTGGGACCAATTTTGTTGACCGCACCCGAGAGTTCATAACTATAAAACTTCAAACCGCAGACACGTTTAAGAGGTCGCAAAAATAGCATCAAAGTCAACCCAAGTGATAACTACCTCCTAGCCTATATCTTTACAACGAAAAATAACCGCATCATTGTAACCCGAATTAAAATTTATTTTCTCTTTTAAAGAAATAATTAATATTG